CACTCATTTACTGCATCTGGGTACTTTTTTACACTTTCCCTTGCAGCATCTTTCCCACAGTATACTTATGATTCCGAGTTATTGTTTAAATATCTGTCGCCATCTGAGTTTACCTTCTTTTTTTGAGCGAATGGGATTTACCTCTCATTGATCTTGGTGGAGGAAAAATTCTTTAGACCCTCTCTGATGGAAAAGACTCCTGCCATTTAGAATTTTCTTAGGGTGCATTCTGATTGATGGATGGATTCGGAGGAGGGATTTCAAATCCACGATCCCACATCCTTCGCTGTTGTGATTGAGTGACCTGACAAATCATTTCCAATCCGTCACTCTCACTTTTGGTTGCTTTTTGAGCAATGGTAGGAAATTTTAAATTCCTTCCCATTTAGTTTCAAATCCTCCCCAACTGGGTTCATTTCAAATCCATTCATTTGAAATACCTCAATTCAAACATAGCCTTAGATAATAATTTAAGGAAACCCCCTTACTTAGGTTATACTCTAGCTAATTTTTAGACATTATATTCCAATGTTGCCCTTATTTAATTATAACTCTCTTAACATTAACCACTTCTAACTTGTCCAGTTTTTTTTTTCTCTCTCACTCTTGCGTCGTTCTCTCTTCCTCTTTTTCTCTTTTCTAGATCTGACGTTTCTTACCACTCTCTCCACTCCACTCCGCCATCATCATGGCCTAAATCACGAGAAAAACTTCTAGCAGTCCGCGGTGGAGACTATGGTGACGACGCGACAGAGGATTTTGAGGCGGCGACATTTGTCTCGCGAATTGATTGTTGATGGCGGAGACCGTGGTTGTACAACGACGGTGGAGAATGCGAAGGCGGTGGTGCCGGAGATTGAAGGTGGATGGGACGGTGATGGTGTAGTGTGGCGATAGTGTGTTGACGATGATGAGCATATCTAGGTTTAATCGCTACGTTTTTTAATTCATGTTTGGATTTTTGGATATTAATTCCCTATTTGGGTACGTGTAGTTGAACTTAGTGCATAATGGTGGTGTGTCTTTGATCCGCCATTGTCAATCCATCATTCGATTTGTATAGATCAATACAATTTTGGTATATTTGTTGTTTTTGTAAAACATAGTTGGTGTTCGTTTTTTCTTTGTAGTTGTTTTTGTTATTTTTGCGGTTGGTTGTTTGGATTTTTTTGTTGAATCGTGTTGAGTTTCATTGACGGTATTAGGGTCGTTTTTATTACAATTAATAGTCAATTTCACTATTCAACAACAATTTTTGTAGTCAGTTCCTTAATTGACTATGCCTAGTTGATAATTGATTACTACACATAAGACTGAAAAAAAAATTAAAAAAATCGAAAACAAATTTTATAAGTAAAAATATAAAATAAAATAAAATTATAAAATAAAAAGAAAAAAGTAGTTTAAAAAAAAAAGGAAAAAAGAAAAATAGGAATGGTAGTAGTTGAAAAAAAGATAATATGACAATTTTAAAATTAGAAAAATTGTGAAAGTAACATGAGTTTACCTCAAAAAGTGAAGGGGTTGTCTAGGGTCTGAGAGGGGTTGTACTACTCGGACCCAAACGATTGAAAATCAACCAATAAAAATGTGACACGTATAATTTGTAGGAACCCCATAAAAAAAGTACGATACCTACCTTATAGGTGAAATTACATAAAAACCCCTATAACTAAAACTTAAGTAACAATTAATAATAATTAATAATTAGGGTCATGACAAGAGACTTAAATGCACATTGGTCCACATAAACAACAATCTTTCAAATTAACCCATCACAATGTATTTACTCTAAAATATCCTTTATAATATATTTTTTTATCAATTTCATCCATCATACTCTAACTTCCTTAATATTACATATTGACCCCGAATTTAAACAAATATATCACATTAACCCCCATTTTAATATTTTTTTGAAAAAATATTTTTTTTTGAGAAAATAATTTTTTTCTGAATTTTTTTTTTCGGCCAGATTCCGGCGTTGACCGGGCGGGCGGTGTCCGACGTTGATTTTTTTTTTTGAAAACATTTTTTTTCTGAATTTTTTTTTTCGGCCGGTCAACCGTAGTTGACTGCCGCTCTCCGGCGTTGACTTTTTTTTTTTTTTTTTTTATTTCATTTTTGAAAAAAACAATTCTTAGAAAAATATATTTTAATTAATATTACTATCTTGCCTACTAAATTACTGTCTCATACAATAATATTTACTGTTTCAGACAATAATATTACTGTTTCAGACAGTAATATTATGAATATTATTTTCCCGAATCGTAATATTACTAATATTACTGTCCCAAACAGTGATATTATTGCTTGAGACAGTATTATTACGGTCGAAGACAATAATATTACAGTAAAAAACAACAATAATGCAGGTCAAGACGATAAAATTAATTAATACAATAATATTATTGTCTCAGACAGTTAAATTACTGTTGGAGATAGTAATTTTGAGCCAAGACAGTAATATTAATTAAAATATTATTTTGAAGAAAAAAAATTCAAAAAAGAAAGTCAATTAACATTTAAATTATTGTATCCGGCAGTTAAATTACTGTTGAAGACAGTAATTTAACAACTAATACATTAATATTAGTTAAAATAGTTTTTTTTAGAAAAAACAGAATTTAAAAGAAAAAAAAAATCAAAGCCAGAGACCCTGCGATTGAGCTACCGGAAAAAAAATTCAGACAAAAAAAAAGTTTTGAAAAAAAAAAAGAGTCAACGCCGGAGACTGTGGGTCTCTGGCGGTCTCCGGTGGTGGCGAGTCAAAATTGGGGTTAAAATTGAAATTATGGTCAAAAATTGGTTAATTGGTGAAATGGGCTAAATTAGTTAGTCGAGGTATGATCGTGGATTTTTTTTTTATTTGGGGGGCAAAGAGCAAAAATGACCAAAGTTAGGGGCAAAGTACAATTAACCCTACTTTTAATTCTCTGGTTTAATAATATAAGGTTAATAAAGTAATTTTACATGAAGTACGATGGAGTAAGTGAAATATGTTTGAGTGTGTTCCTAACTTCCTATTAACGAATGAAAATTTTGAGGGGTTTTTTATCAAATAGGCCCTTAAATTAGAGTTGGTGGACTGCAAAGAAAATAACCCAACACATCAATATTCTCCCCCGTCTTCAGAAAGCGGGAAAAAAATAAAAACCCTTTTCCGACGTGCGAAGGAAAAACTTCGATTCACCTAGCAGCAATGGCGCCGTTGCAGAGCTCCCAGCCATGGGTTGAGAAATAGTAAGTCGGATAATTTAACTCCCTCTCTCACACACTAATTCACCGATCTCTCTCTCAAACACACACTCACAGTAATTCACTGTTTTCTCGAAGCTCCGTATTTTCTTAAGAATTACTGAAAAATTAACGCCGTGAATTAACAGTCGGCCAAAGCAAGTGAAGGACGTTGCTCACCAAGACGAAGTCGTTCGGGTTCTCACGAACACACTCGAGACAACGAATGTACAACAATTATTTTATTTTATTTTTCTCTTATTTTTTCTGCTTAGTGTTCTTATATTCCTTTTTTTTTTTTTTTTTTTTAATTATTGATTAAATTTTGCAGTGTCCGCACATGCTATTTTACGGGCCTCCGGGTACCGGAAAAACAACGACAGCTCTTGCAATTGCTCATCAGCTTTATGGGTAATTTTTTATTTTTGTGTGTGCTTATAATCTTACTTTCTAATTGAAGTGTATGTTCATGTGTATAAAGAAGGTAATTTTGATTTTATATTAATTTTGGGGTAAATTGATTGTTCTATTAGGTTATTTAGGATTATTACAAGATCCGGCAATACTCGACAGTTTGTGAGTATCAATAATAATTTTTTTCTACAGGCCCGAGTTATACAAGTCTAGAGTATTAGAGCTGAATGCTAGCGATGACCGTGGTATCAATGTTGTTCGTACGAAAATTAAAAACTTTGCCGCAGTTGCTGTCGGTTCTGCTCGACACGGGTATCCTTCATAAATAATAATATTTCCGGTATTTAGCATTACTATGTAAATCGTTTATTCTTACTTGTATGCCCTTCTTCATCACTGTAGTGGATATCCATGCCCACCTTATAAGATCATAATTCTCGATGAGGCAGATTCAATGACCGAAGATGCTCAGGCAAGTTTGTCGGATTTCTGTACTTGCAATTTTAGTTTCATACAATGTCGTAACAGAGGTTATCGTACCTTTGCAGAATGCCTTGCGGCGTACGATGGAGACGTATTCTAAAGTTACAAGATTCTTCTTCATATGTAACTATATCAGCAGGTTGTGTGTCGAATATTCATCTATGTTGTACTAATGTGTATTTTGATCCGATTCTCTTGGGAACTGACTTGAGGAGTGATTTGATGTTGTGTAGAATTATAGAACCCCTTGCATCTAGGTGTGCTAAATTCAGATTCAAGCCACTTACAGAAGAAATCATGAACAATCGTATTTTATATATTTGCAACGAGGAAGGTATCAACTTGGATTCAGAGGTATGGATTAACATACTTTACTTCTCATGCATGTTTAACTAGTATTTGCTCGTGTATGTGGTGAATTAATTTTTCTTGTTGTTGTTTACGGAACGTGGTTTGTTTTCTACTGTAGGCTCTCACAA